GATGCACCAAAAATTACTTTATGACACTGGGCGCACTTGGGAAAATAGTTCAGGGTGCTGGGCACACGTTAACTCGTCAAGATAATACACATCAGATGCCTACGTGTCCGCCACGTCAGATTTTTCGGTCAACTAACAGTCAAACTTAACTTTTCTGTTAGCTCGGGATATGGATGCACCGTTTTAATTAGTTTGGGACACTGGATGCACCATTTTAATTAGTTTGGGACACTGAATGCACCAAAAATTACTTTAGGACACTGGATGGACATGGGAAAATAGTTCGGAGTGCTAAGTGCACCTTAACCCAAGAATCAAAAAGCAATCCATCAACTTCCTTTGACCTTTATTGCCGCCATGTAACTCTCCAGAGAGCAACGTCTTTTCCAAACAACCGCGCAAAAACACTAGCATAGAAGCCCACCCACAACCCCATATTTGTAGGAAGGTAAGGCAATAAACTTTGAACACTTGAGCCCTAATGAGAAGGGAGACAAAAAGGTAGATAATACTCCCTCCGTTCCTTATTATAGGAGACATTTGATGCTTATGGCATGTTCCTATATATAAGAGACACTTAAAAGTTGTCTCTACTTTTTTGTGTTGATTTCCTATTTTACCCATATTTATTGTCTCCAACTCACACTCTCTCTCCCTCCCACTTCTCTTTCTTTCAATAATTTAATTGTTCTCTCTCATGCTCTCTCTCCTTATTAATGAGGGCATTTTTGGAAAAAAATTATATTTTTCACACATTGATTGTTCTTAACTAATTTTAACTGCTTTTTTGATCAACGTAATTCGGTTATTCGTCTCTTATAATAAGGAACGGAGGGAGTAAATGGCAATAAACCCTCTCAAAACATAGGGAAATAAAAAGACAAACAATAAATGAAGATACAATCACCAATGCTGGTGTATGCACCAAAACTGAAGAAAAAAAAGGACTCACATCATCACCCAATGGCCAATGAGATATAAGAGAAACTACCGTCCAAAATCGACATGTGGACCAATCATAAAATCACTGCAAGGTCTATAGGATAGATAGAAAGAGAGAGAGTGAAGCTTTTATAAAAAACCCTTTTGAATATAATTTTCTTATTTTTATTTTATTTATTTAAATATACTCCCTCTGGTTCAAAATATAAGCATCAGATAACTAATTCATAAAATTCAAAAAATTAATTAAAATTAATTAAAGATAATAATTGTGTAAAACAAATTCAAAGTGATGCTTATAAAAAAGACCACAACTCTTCATTTGATGTTTATATTTTAATATAATTTTCCAGGCTTGAGGCTCTGGTGTTGTCACCAATCACAGATAAGCGCAAATGCCACCATAGCCATGAAAGAGACCTTAACGGTTGATTTTAATTAATATTTTCATTTTCTGTTGGCCTTACCTCCATTGAATTCCCATACCTTAACAAAAAGCAATTTGCTGATTTTTACGCTACCCCATCCATATCATATTTTTGTGATCTCAATGCCACACATTTCATTTTCACCATCTACTGCTACTCATCAACATATTATTATAATATATGAAAAATAAAATATCTAAAATTATTCTCTCTCTCCCTCTCCCCCCGTCTCTCTGTAATGAAAACACCATGAATTTACTATTACTAGCTAAAAAATTGTTCCTTTATATTCTTAAATCCCTGTTTATTGACAGGATGGATAAAGCATTGGAATTAATCCATTAACCCCAATTCATTCCATTTAAACAAAATCACTTAAAACTTGATTGCTATTCACCTTTGTTTATCATATATAGTAGCTCATGTGTGTTTAATATAAGAGTTAGATAACTAATTTAAAAAAAATTAAATAAATTAGTTAAGTTGGTTATTGATAACAAACGTGTTGACTTCTCTATACAACTGTATTCAATCATATATATATTGAAATTATCTTTAGATACAAACACCTTATAATCAATAGAGATATTCTAAAGAAAAATTATAAAGAAAGATAAAGTGGATTGAACTCTTATATTTAACATCAAATTCAATTTCTAATTAGTTTTTATATTAAGATAAAAAATAGCATATATATAATGACATCAAATTCATCATTATTATCAGAGGAAAATTAACGTGCAATACCACAAACAATTTAATTATAAAAAAGTCTTATAATAAGTGAGTAGTATACAATAACAAATTTCAGTGTAAAAAATAACAACAACTATATATGCTGCTATGTTGTTGTGGAATTGTTTAGTGACTAAATTAGTGGGTGGCATAGTGATTTTTCTTGTTATTAGATCAAATTTGAACATTATTAAGCCTAATTAAAATATTTCTTTTAATATAATTTTTTTAATTCTCAAAGTCATGACTTCATCAAACATTATTGAAATATTCATCTTATTTTTTCATTAATTCATATTTTGATGATATGGATCACTCTAACAAATAACCACTAATAATAATAATAATAATAATAATAATAATAATAATATATAATAATAATAATAATAATAATAAAATAATTGTTACAAGAAAAAACCTAAAAAATAATTTTAAAATTTTAAATTAGTATTGGTTATAGTACACTTGTAAAAAACTGATTATACTTGAAAAGCAAATGAGAATATATTTGGGAAAATGACAATAAAATACCACTTGAATTCCAAAAAGACAGATAAGGGACCTGAATAAGCAAAATGATAAATAGGGCATTGGATACCAATCTGGAATTCATATTTTTGGCCAAAAGACCAAAATGCCCTGATGAAATGGGGGAAGACCGAAAGCTGAAAATGAGAGAAAGGAGAGAGGAAGACCGACACAGTGAGAGAAAGGAGAGAGGAAGACCGACGCTGATGAAATGCGGGAAGAAAGAAAGAAGAATGTTGGAAATGCTATTATCTTACTCCTTCGCATCGCCATTCTGTAGAGATTGTTGATTTGGTGGGTTTTGGTTGTGGGAAAGAGGATTTGTAGTGAGCGAGGGAGTGAACCTGTGGGAAAGACGAAGCGGAAATCAGAAAACAATGGCAAGCAATTACGTAACGTAACTGCTGTCATATGCCTGCTGGTTTTTGGTAAATCCCATTACATGAATGGTAAATTTCACTATACATGTAGTTAATTATGAATTTTACAAAATACATATTGTGATTTACAACTTTTGTAGTGAAAGTGACTACTTTGTTAATGGGTTTTGCAACCTGTTTTCAGGAGATAAACAACTTGTTTGTAAAAACTAATAAAAGTGACAACTTTTGTAATCACATTGAATTAACTGGTTGCAAAAGCCATTTAAGAAGTGGTCATTTTCACTATAAAAGTTGTAAATATCACTGTGTGTTTTGTAAAATTCAGCGTCAAATTTTATTGATTTTTAGAAACAAGTTGCTCATCCCCTGAAAAGAGGTTGCAAAACTCATTTAAGAAGTGGTAATTTTCACTAAAAAAGTTGTAAATATTACTCTGTGTTTTGTAAAATTCAGCATGAAATTTTATTGGTTTTTAGAAACAAGTTGTCAATCCCTTGAAAAGAGGTTACAAAACTCATTTAAGAAGTGGTCATTTTCACTATAAAAGTTGTAAATATCACTGTGTGTTTTGTAAAATTCAGCGTCAAATTTTATTGATTTTTAGAAACAAGTTGCTCATCCCCTGAAAAGAGGTTGCAAAACTCATTTAAGAAGTGATAATTTTCACTACAAAAGTTGTAAATATCACTGTGTGTTTTGTAAAATTCAGCATGGAATTTTATTGGTTTTTAGAAACAAGTTGCCAATCCCTTGAAAAGAGGTTGCAAAACTCATTTAAGAAGTGGTAATTTTCACTACAAAAGTTGTAAATATCACTCTATGTTTTGTAAAATTCAGCATGGAATTTTATTGGTTTTTAGAAACAAGTTGCCAATTCCTTAAAAAGAGGTTGCAAAACTCATTTAAGAAGTGGTAATTTTCACTACGAAAGTTGTAAATCTCACTATGTGTTTTGTCAAATTTAGTAGGAAATTTTATTAGTTTTTAGAAACAAGCTGCCCATCCCCTGAAAACAAGTTACAAAACCCATTGAATAAGTGGTTATTTTTACTACGGAAGTTGTAAATCCCACTATACGTTTTGTCAAATTTAGCGTGAAATTTTATTAGTTTTTACAAACAAGTTGTTTATCTCCTGAAAACAGGTTGCAAAACCCATTAACAAAGTAGTCACTTTCACTACAAAAGTTGTAAATCACAATATGTATTTTGTAAAATTCATAATTAACTACATGTATAGTGAAATTTACCATTCACGTAATGGGATTTACCAAAAACCAACAGGCATATGACAGCAGTTACGTTACGTAATTGCTTGCCATTGTTTTCTGATTTCCGCTTCGTCTTTCCCACAGGTTCACTCCCTCGCTCACTACAAATCCTCTTTCCCACAACCAAAACCCACCAAATCAACAATCTCTACAGAATGGTGATGCGAAGAATTTAGTTTCGTCAACTGGAGGGGGTTCGGTTTCGTGGAGTGGAGGGATTGGTTTCATCGAGTAGAGGGATTCGGTTTCACTGAGGGGAGGGATTAGTTTCACCGAGTAGATGGATTGGTTTCGCCAAGTGGGGGCAGTTTCTCTTTCGCCGAGTGGGGGGAATTGCTTTCGCTGGGAGTAGGCGAACACAATAAGGGCAATTCAATCTTTAGGCCAAAAATCAAAATTCCAGATTGGTACCTGATGCCTTCTTTGTCATTTTGCTTATTCAGGTCCCTTATCTGTCTTTTTAGAATTCAAATGGTATTTTAGTGTCATTTTCCCAATATATTTTTATAATAGTTTTTTATTTAAAATTTTAAAATGCAACGGTAATTTTTGTTGTTGAGATTTTCTCATTCATGACACGTGCTTGTGCAAGTACTACGGCCCACGCAAAGCCATATATAGCGTTAGAGCGCAGTAGAGCCAACCAGCAATCATCTCTCACTGCTCCCTCGCTGGTCTCAGCAATTATCGATGCTTCCAAAATCCAAATACATTACCACCAGACGAAGCGAAGCTTTATAACCACATTCATATTCACAATATTCAACACGATATCTCCATTTTTTCCCTGTTTCTTCGCACTGAAGAAAAATCTGAAGCACTGCGATTGGCGGTGGTTGTTGGATTCATATAATGGGGGCGGGTGCTTCGAAGAACACGGATGGTGAGTTTAGTGGGAGTGATGAAGATGGGCAGCTGTACGTTTCGCTTAAGATGGAGAATCGTAAGCTTACAGGGGAGCTCGTTCCTCATGTCTTTGGTTCTCTTCCGCTTGTGGGCTCCTGGGACTCTTCAAGAGCAGTAATTTTGTTTTGAACCCTACTTTCTACATTTGCTGGATGAGTACTCGGGATTTAGTGTGATTTTGGTGGTCTAAACTTTTTTTTTTTGGTACCACATTCAGCTTTCTATGGAACGGGAATCGGTGTCAATGTGGGAGTTGAGCTTTGTTGTTCCACCCAATCATGGTAACATATTTTTTCCTCTTCGTCTTTAAGATGTAATAATTAATTATCATTCATTGACTCGATACGTTGTTATTATTTCTGGAAGCATTCAACAAAAATAAAACTTAATAAAACTGTATAGATAGCCAAGTTTTCTAAGCTAAATTGAACTGAAGAAACAGTTGTCTTATTCTGAGCGTAGCACTGTTGGATTTACTATGAGCAGAGAGCTGGCATTTTGGTGTCTTAAATTGTTTGAAGTTTAGTTTTAGTTAGCAAATCATTCAGAATTACCTCATCAAAGGGCTCTCTCTCGATTGTGCCTGATGCCTTTAATCTGTTTGGCATTTTCAGAAACTTTGGATTTCAAGTTCCTCTTGAAGCCTAACCACAGCAATTCACCTTGTATTGTTGAGGAGGGTCCAAATCGCCTGCTGATTAGGGGGACATTGCCGGAGGATACCAGGCTTGCTTTGTTTAGGCTTGAGAGTGCCGAAGTTCTTGAGTATGAAGTATTCGTTAAAGTAGATAGGGTTTCTCCGTTTGATCTTGCAGCTAGTTGGAGGGCCTATCAAGAAAATTTTCGTCCTTCATCCGTGCGTGGGATTCCTGATGTCAGCATAAATTCAGAGCCACAGACAGGCGGTGAGGTAGGATTACAATAGAGCTTCAGGTGGTATTTGGTACTTCACAACATTGTTTTTAATTCTTTGCCCCGCTGTTAGCTGTTAAGCACAATGTTTTTCTCAATGCAATGTATAAAATAGAATAGATGAGTCTAAAAAACTTGTATGAACTTGTAGAATTTCATTTGTGAGTTTCTGGTTGAAATTTTTATAATTTTTGACCAGCAAATCTTCATTTTACTCTATATCATTTGTTAAATCCTTGCAAGAAATGCAGTGTTTCTACATGTAAAATGGGTTATTGTCAAGTTTCAGGTGATAAGTCCTCAATAAAAACAGCCTTCATTTTTCAATTTATATTGCTTTTCTTTCTATTACATTACCTTGTCATGTGTCATATGTAAGTGATTATATGCCTTTCTATTTTTTAATAACACAGTTTTCCATACTAACCTTATGCTAAGTTAATGGCAAATGTGTTCTATGAAACACATGTTCATGGACCACTCTACTAAGGAATTTAATTTTCTTTTCAACTTTTTGCCCAGAATGGCTCTTTCGTGGGTCTGGATCTTGATCTTGAACATTATGTTGTCCCAGCTCCCTCTACTTTGAATTCAATTGCATATACAGCCAACATGACGGAGAATCCCAGATCACCAGTTGTTGGGTCTTGCAGCAGTACATATTCCATCAGGGATGTTGATGTTCCAGTTGATCGACCTGCAACTTCTAAGGTTTGACTTCCTTCATTCTAGTTCGCCCTTGGCTGAACCACTAAACCACAACAATTGGTTTCTCTTATCTGTATTTTAGAACATTGTTCTAAATGGACTATACGCTCTCTATAGTGTATGGTACAGATAACTACCTAACAATAATTCCAAAAAATCAATGCAAGAATATCTTGTCATCATTTTCCTTAAACCTGTGCTTTCACTGCAATGGATTTGTCAATAAAGTTGATATTCCTACTAGGGGATGGAGATTATTGTTCCAGACCCATCAATGGCGTGTCAAGGTTCTGGACCGGTTGAATCCAAGTCAGTGGGCACATATACATCACTACAAAAGCAAGATAGTCAGAGGGGATATTTTGTTGATAGGGGTGTTGGGTCCCCTAGACTTGTAAAATCCAGCTCTACAACTTTTACAACTAATATTAATCTGGAAACTGATACCAAGGTTTGTATGAATGATTTTTTCTGTTTGTTTTTAACTTTCTGTCCTCAAATTGAATGGTAGAGAACAAGATTTTGTAGTCTCAACTTGTGCCCAACTGATTGCTTCTGTATGCTTTCTTTTCAATGATAGAATTCAATGCCAGCAGCTGCTGGAGCTGTTGCAGCTGCAGCTGTGGCTGACCAGATGCTGGGTCCCAAGGAGGATAGACATTTAGCAATTATCCTGGTACTTACTAGCATGACTGGTTATCATGAATTTTAATAAGTTTTAGTGATTCTTCATCTATCTTGCTTCCCCCTTTAAGTTAGAGTTTTATGGGTATCTTGGAGTTTGAAAATGACTCAAAAAAAAAATTATATTTTCCTTTTGTAGTTCATCAAATTAATACATGTGACATTGAACAATTCTAACTTGAGATTCAGCTTCTCTAGTTTACAATGGGATTGGACTGCTAGTCTTCCTTTTAGGCAGTTCCTTTTCGAAGATTTCTTGTTCTCCTCTTTCGCATCTCCCTAAGTATTTAATAATTTTTTGTATAAAAAAATACAATGAATAGTTCTAACTCGTTGCTTTTACTTTAGGTGGGTTTGCCAGCTCGAGGTAAAACTTTTACTGCAGCAAAACTTACAAGATACCTTCGTTGGTTAGGTCATGATACCAAGCATTTCAATGTTGGGAAGGTTGCTGACATCTTTGACATGACTCTTCTTTGTACTCGGTAGTCTTTTGCTATGTCAAAATATCTCAGATATGAGAGTGACACACATTTCTATTTGATTGTTACAGTATCGCCGCCTTAAGCATGGAACTAATCAGGTAAACTCAATTTGCATAAAATTTGATTTGGTTACTTATAATTGAAATTTCATCTTCTGAAGTAATTCTTTATGCGTTCTTATAGATATGTTTGCCATTGATTAATTAATAAATTGAAAGAACTTACAATGACATGGGAATGGGCAAAGACTGAACACTAAACCTCTAAGTTAATTAAAGAAGCTCTTGCTATGTCAAAATCATTTGATCTAAAAGGTCATAAAAGCTCTAAGTTATATCTGTTATTTGACTAATTTTTTCACATGATCTATTGTAATTTGGTGGAGCATAAAATTTCCAATGTTGCTCTTTAGTGCTATTGTGAATGGTAGATCATCCGTTTTCCTTTCTGAGTAACTTAATTATTATAACCATACAATTTAACTTGTCATTCATGCTTTCACGAGCAATTCTTAATGCATGTCATATGCTTCGTTGCAGTCTGCTGACTTTTTTCGAGCTGACAATCCTGAAGGCATGGAGGCCCGCAATGAGGTAACTTTTGCCCAGTAGTTTGTTGCTTTGAGATCAAATTCAATGCAGAATATAATGGATAACTTCCATATATTTAGATCTTAATTTATTAGTTACAGTTGAACTTGGAATGGTCATGGTCCATGATTTTTTTTTTTTTTTTAAAACATCATGTTAGTGCTTCTATGATTGTTTATGATTTTTTTTAACATCTCTTGCTTTTTGATGAATGGCAAAAATTTCCGGATTGTAAAAAGTAGAATACAAAATCCTAATGGAAAATTCATGTTGATGGGCATCAAGTATAACGTATTCTTATTAAGGCTATGTTACCCTGCTCAAACTTGCTTCAAGCATTTGCTTTGGCATGGATGATTCTGGCATTGTACCATGTCCCTTTTTTTCTTTTGCGATTGCATTGTACCACGTCCTTTCCCTGTGCATAGTTTTTATGTATATGTGCTACCAGGTAGCAGCTTTGGCATTTGAAGATATGATATCTTGGATGCAAGAAGGTGGCCAGGTAAGCTATTCTTTTGACTTTTTCTACTATTACTTCTTTCCTGTTCTCTCCATCACTTTTGATTTTATTTTAGGTAGGGATATTTGATGCGACAAACAGTACCAAGAAGAGAAGAAACATGCTGATGAAATTGGCTGAAGGAAGATGCAAGGTACTGCAGTCACAAATGGACTTTGTTAAGAATTATCATATGAAATTTATACAGATAATCTTGATCTCTTCTGATGCATCTTTGCGTTTTTCTTGTAGATTATATTTCTGGAAACAATATGCAATGATGTAAACATAATAGAAAGAAATATACGTCTTAAAATTCAGCAAAGTCCTGACTATGCAGAAGAGTAAAATTTCTCTTAAAAACAGTGATATCTTCGTCTTGATTGCCATGAAATTACACCTAATTAATGTACTTTTGCAGGACAGATTTCGAAGCAGGGATAGAAGACTTTAAAAACCGTCTGGCCAATTATGAGAAGGCAAGTCTTTTGAATGCACTTTTATTAATTCTTAGAGAACTTTTCCTCATATAATTTAGATTTTTCATCGTCAGGTTTATGAACCTGTAGAAGAAGGATCTTACATTAAAATGATTGATATGGTCAGTGGGCATGGTGGGCATATACAAGTAAGATTAATTTTTCTTTCTGTTTTGAATCATATGCGTTGAACGTAGCCCTTTTATATTGCTGATTGTCAGGTCATCCTGTACCACAATTTGCCGATAAACATTTGTGTTCATATGGAGGCTGTACTTAAATAACTGGAATGTAATAGTAGAATGAAGAAATGAATTTAGGGGCTTCAACTTGAGCTCTGCTCCACACATCAAGACAATTTGTTATAATTTCTCTCTTTTGATGTAGGTGAACAATATCAGTGGCTACCTTCCTGGTCGGATTGTTTTCTTCTTGGTAAGTTCTTTCAAGAATGTGTTTGAATATCATCTATGGGTGTTTGGTTTGTGAACCTTTTTTAATTCCTAGAAAATAGCAGAATGTTTTGTAGAATCTTATAAGGAAACAACATGTCAAGGAATGTAAGCAACAGCTACAGAACCCCTTATTTTCATTTCTATTGGGGTGAGGTGGAAATGTTGGATTTTCATTAGTCAGAAATATATTTGAAACGTTAGAAGATTATTTTGTCCACCCTTATCTTAATAAACCCCCATAAAACTAATAAATGAAATTTCTTATTATCCTTAATATCTATGATGGATAATATAGGTTTTTAACAACTTGTGAAGCTGTGCTCGATAACTTGACATTTATTCAAGGGTTAAAGTATAATTTTGCCCTAAAAATATTTTCAAAGAAGCTATGGGCACCATAGAAAAATTGTGAAGCAATGCAGCACATAATTTTTCAAAACTGGTGTAATGTTGCCTTTTTTAACAGCCAACCTTGAGGTTAACATTGGGACTCAATGTTGACTACTAAAAAAGGGCTACATTGCACTAGTTTTGAAAGATTATGTGCTGCATTGCTCTGCAATTTTCTTTAGGGTGCCCATAGCTTTTCCAGTAATACTTTCGGAGTAAAAATTCAGTTTAACTTTTTATTTATGAACCATGCTCTTCTTACTGTGAACCTTCGTTCGTCTATTGCAGGTTAATACCCACCTCACACCACGCCCCATATTACTTACTAGGCATGGAGAAAGTCAGGACAATGTAAGAGGAAGAATTGGTGGAGATACTGCAGTGAGG